GCAAAGTCTTGTATGTGGGGGATGCTTTTGACGATGGCCTGCAAATTCCAGCTGGTGCAGAATATGAACATGGGACTGCTAACTGGGACCAAGATTATAGTGAGTTATGATTAGTTGTTCATTGCCCTCAAAAAAGATTTGCATCACTCAAAAAAAGGGTGGAAATTTGCATATGATCATTTATATGTACAGACACATATTTAGAAATAATTACTATAATTACTATGATATAAATGTCTCATGTGCCTGTTCAGTCTGATCTGTTGATAAGTTGCTGCCAATTGTTGTGGCACCTCATCAATGAACTGAGGAGACCCCTGCTTTCTTTTCTTCTGGTTCTTTGCCTTTAAAGCTCAGTTGGGATAGGCCTCAAATAGAGGACATTTTCAGATAGAGAACCGTCCTCTGTTAAAAAAAAAAAGCCTCTGTAAAAAAATGGCCACTCTGCCCCATAGCTGTCAAGTGTCCCTTATTTGAAGGGACAGTCCCTTATTCCAGCGCCATGTCCCGCTGCTGTCCCTTATTGATGGATGTCCCTTAAATGATGTCCCTTAAATTTCAAAGGAAGCAGCTCCTCTCTCTCCCTCCCTGCCGGCCAGGGAGGAGGGAGGCTCCAACTGTGTTGCTTGGCTGTGTTGCTCACCCAATAAGAAGTCTAAGAACGACTGGGGGGGTGGAGCTTGAATGCCTTGTGTGTGGCTAGTTAATGCAAGCTGAGGGGTTTTTTGAATGCTGGACGCCATTTTGTTGCACGTGCTGCTGCAAACTTTGCAGTGCAAAGCCAGGCCAGGGAGCCATCTTAAGTTGAGGCTGCATAGGCCTTGTGGTGCATGTGATTCAGATTCTATTCAGTTGAACCTCTAGTTACAAAGTTGGTTGGACAGTGTTCTCGAAGCTACCAGCATGAGTTTGACCAGACTGCAGGAGGACAGGAAGACTGGAGTGCCTGGAACAGGTGAGGCTGCTGGTCCCTTGTTTTCAAGGCTGCTGGTCCCTTATTTTCAAATCTGTAAGTTGACAGCTATGCTCTGCCCATTATTACACAAATTTCTATATGCTAATTTATATGTATAGATGCTTCCTTATAAATTAAGATAGTGGACAGGGACTCATCAGCATTGCTTTTGGCAGTGTGTCCAGCTATCCTTTGAGCAAAGTTTTTAAAAATGTAAGTGGAAGGAATGGGATGGGAGGGGGCAGAAGATTTGGGGCTCAGTTCCAAAGACCCAGGTTTGGGGGCTCTAGGCCTCCCCTAGCAACCCCATGCAGCTTGGTTCATGATGTCATTCCGGTATCATATCTAGTGATTCAGCTGCATTGCTAGAGCTTCCCACCATAATTAGTCCTCTTGCTATAGCTCAGGCTAATAGCTCACCTCTTAGCTTTCGGCAAGTTATAAAATGGAAAATCTTAGTTATGGGAGCTTCATTGCATGGTGTGTTGTAATTTTTGTCCCTGAGTCATACAGCAAGAGCTTTTTTATAATATCTCGTGTTTTCTCTCCCTGGAAATGATTACATTTTGAGAGTCCCAAAAAGACATTTGAGATTAATTTCCCAGTAAGGGATGAAGATGCTGCAGACAACACTCTTCCACCCAGCATGTGAACGGGCTGCAAATCTTCTGCCTGTTGAGTGGCGTTGGCATAAACACACGCCGCATCTAGGACAAGAATGCAATTCCATGCAGCCCACTCTGGACAATATAGGAGAGAAGTTCCTTACCATGTAAGGAATGTACATGTTTGATATAAGGGAGATGATTCAAGAAGGCAAAACAGAGTCTGTCTTCCCAGAAAGCAAGAGCAACGGGTGTCAAAAAGTATTCTAGGAAAGAACTGGCAGACAGTTTCTCGTGCAATGAGCTGATAGTCAAAAGTAAAACAGACACAAATCTGTCCAACGTTTATTATCGGACTCCAGCAATTTAAGGAAAAGTGTTGTGCAGAACATATCCCAAAGTACGTAAAATCAGATGAAAAATATGTATTGGTGCTGCTAAGTACATTTTCTCAATAGACAAGAGGAACAAATATCTTCTTTGTAAAATGCATTTTATTCCAATCTCAGTAAACGTAGATGGGCATCCCCATCTTTAATGGTTCAGCCTGCATACCTGCCAGTAAAGCTCCATACTGCCAAGATTTGTGATGCAGTATGTGCACCATGTTGAGAACTTGCTTGCAGTGCCAACGGTCACTTACGATCAGGCTGGGGTCAGCATAAGCCCTGTGGAGATGCATGTCAATCCAGCAGCCAACTCCCATCCAGACCAGCTTTCTTTAGCACTACAGACAAACTGGCATTCAACGTTAGCAGCCATGTGCAGAAAAATAAGGCAAACCATGAGCACTTTGCATGAGTTCACACACGTGTGATCAAACCAAAACAATGGAGGACGACTTGCATTTACAACTCAGCCATCCTAGATAAAACTTTGAGAATGGGGCTTCATATTTCCTTGCATCGCCTCAAACACTGTTTTTCCACGGAGGAAGCTCACACCATCAACTGCAAGTCATCACATGATAAGCCACAGAATGATGAGCCACCCAGTGGTGACCAGGCATGTGTGAATCAGCCTGAGCAAGTGAAGACAATAATGAAATAGATTAGTAATGATCTAGGGTTGCTGGGTTGTTGTTTTTTTAAGAAAACTGATTGAGGTCAAATGAGTCATTTAGGAGTGTTATTTGTGTTGATCTCGGTAGCTGGTTCCACTTCTGGTGACTCAGAACTGCCTTAGTGCCACTGCTTCTGAGTGAGGTGCCCACCTCAAGTGGCTGAAGTGCCAGAGGCAGTGTTCTTCCTGTCCCACTGCTACCAGCAGCAGTGGTGAGAGGAGGCATTCCAACGTGTGGTGCTGTCACTCGTCTTTCCCTCCCCTGGGTTAAGAAGCTGAGCAACAACACCTTGAGGAGCACCCCAATTCCCACTGAGTTCAGTGAAGGCCGGCCAGGATGTGGGGGCAGTGGAAGTGGTGAGGTGTGGCACTGGTGAGACAGGGGGTGCCAATTCCCGTTTTGTCTCAGTGGTTGCCCCTGCTTATCCTTGCTGATGCAGTCGCCACTGAAACAGATCTCACCTAGTTCCTGTCTTTCCTTACTCTTTTAGGCCATCTTGTTTGTGAACAAGACATGGAAAGTCACTCTTTGTTGATGAAACAAATTGCTGGGCTGACTTCTTGTTTATTTCTTGAAACATTTACCGTACTTTTCCGTGTATAAGATTAAGGGAGGGTTACTTTAAAATAAGGTTAAAAAACTAGGGGCGTCTTATACACAGTTGTGCATAAGCCCATTTTCTAAATTTGGGGTCCCCAAAAGTAGGGGGCTTCTTATACATGGGGGCATCTCATACACTGAAAAATATGGTATATGTCACTTTTAAGAGGTGAAGTCCTCTTTTGGTGACAACTTCCAGTAACATATGACAACAACAGCAACAACAATATTGGTGGTGCCAAACCCCATAAATCGCTGGCCCCCTCTCCTAGGTCAATCCCCTGGCCCCCTGCCTCCACCACACACTCATCAGAGCCCTGCTAGTCCCTGACAGCCTGTCATGATAAGGCCTGCCTTGATATATCCATTTGGCAGCATGTTTTACAAAGGTTCCTCTCCATCTACTTGAAGCAAAGGCTTCTATGGCTTGGTTACATCATGATGGACAAGGGAAAACTCAAAGCTGTTTAGGTGAACTGAACCTCTATTGTTCTGTATCCATCATAAGGGGCTGTGTTTCTGCCGCACAGGGCACACAGAGTGTTTTCTTGGGCGTCAGGCAAACTGCTGGTTATTTCTTGGTTTACCAGCCTCACACTTATAATAATATATAATTAAACCAGGATGCACTTCCTTGTGGCTCCTTTGACTCCTAAAATGATAGCCCAGAATGCAATGCAAGATGACATAACTATACACACACACACACACACATATCCGTGCTATATGGCACATATAACTTACATGAATAGAGTTTCAGCCATACCACAAATTAAATGTTGCCGTGATTCTCAAATTATGTTCTATCATGCAAAAATGGTGAATTCCCTTAGGTCAAGGGGTACAAGGAGCATCTTCTCCCACAGCATATGGTTTCTAGACAAGGAGAACAGGAATGGAAGCCAACTCTGCTAGGGAATCTCACCACTAGCCCTTTTCTCCATTTTTGATGCCATTTACTTACTCAAGGAACCCAGGCAATGTTTTCCCTGAACTGCTCCCCTATTATTCTTCATTTCCATAAAAAATAATAATGCTGGTGTATAGTATTTTTTTGAGCTTTCATTGCAATAGCAGTACATACTTTCCAGTGTGACCTGGCACTATTATCTCACCTGGTTTGGAGGTGTGTGAAGTTTTTTTTAATGCCTCTCTTCATTCCCTGACTGCTATTGTGCCATTATTTTTACCACCCCACTTCCCATCAGCTGACAAGTTGCTTCTTTTATTGCCAAAACCTCAGCAGCCTCCTTCCCTGGGCCTGCCTCTCAGAGCCAGATTGCTGCTGAGCCTTGCCCTCATTACTCCAGTATACATGGTGCATCCATGTTCCATAAGGGAACAACCAAGATGCTTTCAAAGACAGGCATTTTAGGGAGCAAAAACTGTGCTATACACTGTATTTCCGTCCCTGAGAGCTGAAGCAGTGTTTATTTGATTGTTTTCTGCCTCTGCAAATGTGTATTTTGAAAAGGGTTTGATAAAAGAACACTTGGCCATGCTAAGGGAGTTGACACCTACTGGCTATGTTTCTAAAAGGTTAGTAGAATACCAAGATATCAATCAATTTTTAGTAAGAAGTTTCTTTTGTGATGGATTAGCCAAGCTCTTACTGAGTTTGTTTATGGCTTCTCTGCTAATGTTGTCTTTGTGAGAGTTCCAGTGATCACCATTAGAAATAAGGTTACAGTCAGGGTTGCTCTGGCTTAACCTAAAGAAAGTTGCACAATATTTTCACTGGCATCTACTAGGTCCTTCCTAACTGCATTTAGAGTTGCAGGCGTGTTCGTGTGTGTGTGTGTGTGTGTGTACACACATCATGATGATGATGACACACACACACACACACACACACACACACACACAGAGTTCATACCAGCGCCCTGGAGTTTACTACAGCAAATAAGGGGTGCAAGGACTGCAGTTACGCAAATAGGATATGGCATGCGTCTTTCAAACTGTTCCCCATGACCAGCTGGATTGTTGCATCCCAAAAAAGCAATGTTTTCCCACAGGGCAAAGGTTGTCCCCCTTCTGCTCACATGTATACTGAGAAGAACATTATGTTCCAGTGCACTTGCTAGAAGAGAATTATGGGGCTGCTGGCCCTAAGGGATGATCATTAAAATGCCTTGGTACTGAAATGTTCTCAGCAGCTTTGACGTCTATGAAAAGCCACATGGGAAGGGTCACACTTCCCTGTGAAACAGTTTCACCTTAGGAACACAAGACAAGCTGGCTTGGCTTTTCCTGTTGTCATTTCCTCAATATTATTAGCTTACCTCCTCCTTCCAAAAACACCTCCACCGTTGGTCCTACCAAACATCTATTATTGTCTTTTACTGATCTGCTATTTTGAGGCATACCACATCCTTTCAATGAGAAGTACAAAGATCAAAACAAATCATAAAAGTGGTTAGGCCAAGATATTCAAACTAATCAGAAAGACAGGCAGAGCAAAAATAATAATATTAAGAAAAGAAGAAATGGAAGAAATGAGCTAACAGGAAGGGTTTGAAGCCCAAAGAGTGCTTTCCAACTGAAAATAAACTGAAAGGGCTAGGTTTTAAAAATTACTTTATCAGCCCGTTCTTCCACACATAAACACACAAATATCCTGTCTCAGGCTCAAACCAAAAGTGAATGGTTCATCATATTATTCCAGCTCCACTCACATATAAAATGTGAGGCAGCCTTTAACAAGAACCATTTGCTCCAAGAACCTTCATTTGTTTTGGGCCCAAATAAGTACTTACCACAATCAAATGAGGTTCAAGAGAAGGGGGGAGATTCACAGCCCCTCTCCCACATGCTCCTTTTACTATTCAAACTTTCTATGTGAGTGGGCCAGCCTTGAAAAAAAGAGGTTGTTATCTGTGATCACCACACTGAGATTGGCCCTCACACATTGGCTCCTAAGCCAAGACATATGACCAGATAAATAAACGTTTCTGATTTGGGAACTTTCGGGAACAGATCCTGACTTCACAGAATGGACCTATTGCTTCTGAGATGCCAAAGACTGAATTGTGTCCTAGGAAATCAAAGTAAATTATGCTGAGGAGAACTGCTGTTGTGACACTGGGACAACGGGAGGCGCAACAGTCAAGTATCAGTGATCTTCAGATAATGAAGTCCATTGCCTGGCTCACTTTAGAAAGCGCCTTTAGTGAATAGAGGCAAAACGTGAAGGAGTCAATACACTCCTCAGACCCCATGGTAAGAAAAGGGACTCCTGTGGCTAAATACCGCCCTCCCATGGCTGAATTTCAGACTCTGTCAATAATTGCTGGAGTTAGCGAGGTCTTTGACAAGGATGCTGGTTTAACAAGCAGCAAAATGGGTCCTGTGAGGGAGACGAAATGTCCATCAGATAGACATTTTGAAAAGTACGTCATCTGTTCCTGTTGAGGTCAGAAGAACTAGATGACCAAGGCTCTCTTAAAAAAATATTTCTTCTTAGGGCAAGGTTTCCTATCAAGGCTAACCATTTGGACCATCAGGGCCTCAGGAGCAGTTTAGGCACTTTATTTAGGACAGAATTTTAAAGACCCAGATTTGTGTGAAGGTTTGGTTGTCAGGTAATTTCCTAGAGATGGTGCTTTTAAATTTAGATGTTCAAAAGCACTAAGAAAGTACTCTGTTCCTCCAACAGTCTTCCCACCCATCTTCATTCCCTTCCTGTGCTGGGGCAAATGTAGTTTTACTAGCCACAGCAGAGGTCCTCCAATCTTGTACTTTATTCTTAGCCAACCTCTTTTGATGGAAAAACTACAATGGGTATGTACATGTGTCCTCCATTCCTAGTTGAACAATAGAGCACCCAGCCAAAAACACAAGATCCTCCTTTTGAAAACATGGGTCTTATTTTCCCTTGGAGAATGTCATGCTGATTTCAGGAAGCTAGCTATATAAATTGAGCTACCTAATGATACCGTCATCCCTGTCAGCCAACCTAGCACAAATCAACAGGAATCAGATGCACTGCACACACATCTGATCTTTAAAGTAAGTGCTATGCATCTATCCCTGTAAGTAATGCCATGCGCATAAAGGAGCATCAAGCACGTCTCTGGTGTATATTTTTGCAAGCTAGTGTTGTGGCCAAGTTACCGCATTCCGCTATATTTAACTTTCTGGCCCTTTATCGTGTATTTGGAGCTTGCCGTTCAGAATTTGTGCAAGCATTTATATCACCATCTCTGCTTCAAAACATTTCCCAAAATACCCTGATTACAGATCTGCACCGTCTCTTGATAATTTGCCTTGCAATGTGGCAGGGAGTGGCTCTGTTTTCAGTAGGGTAGGTCTGGCTGGCAGTACTCTCCATGCCACCTAAGACGCTGACTTCAGTTCCCAGCAGTTGGGACTCTGCTTCTTGGAATCTGCCTGACTCTTTTGGTTTCATGTGTTTGGTGGTGACCAAACTTCCTTACTTTGATTTCTGTACCAAGACAGGAGTTCTAGAAATACACACCACTTTTTTTTTTTTTACATGACGCAGGTAGATCTATTCTTAGATACAATTGCACAAGTCTGTTCAGCTGACTTTGTTCTGCTAACATCCTTGTCCACACCCACCCTCGTAAGTTTGTGACTTGGCTTGCAGTTTCCTAAATGGAACCATTCAAAAGTTATTAAAGTGCAGCCCTCAATGAAACGACAGTATCGCTAAGTCAACTTCCAGATCTAATTCTCTCCTCCCCCCCCAGCCCTCCAGCTACTACATTAATGGGACCAGATTTTACACCTCTATTACTTTCTCTTTGAAGTAAGGGAAGAGGATGCATTGCTATAAATACCAAATTAAAATTTGTTCCCTGTTAAACCCCAAAGTGAAGGATATGAGCCAATCACAACTCAAAAAAGAAATATTATCCTATCTACTCACTGTGATAAATTTAACACATATTAACGTTGCAATATTGGTTTACCCTTAGGGTCCTAACCATTAAAGCACATCAAGGAAATAACTTCATTTCTCTTCCCCCAAACCCAACCCAAATTTTCTTTTTCAGCAGAGGCATTAAAAACATTCTAGTGCACCTTCCTCCTCTTCCAGGCCCCAAAGAGTGTCACACACTATATACGTAAAAGTAATTATGGTATCATAGAAAGCTGCCTTCTATCATACATTTAAAGCACATTAATTCCCCACCCCCCAAAAAAACCCAGGAACTGTGGTTTATTTCCTGTGAAGGGTAAACTACAGTTCCCAGAATTTTTGGGGGGAAGCAATGTGCTTTAAAAATGCATTAAATTTATGGTGTTGATGTGGTCGGATAGCTCATCAAACTCAGTCGTCTTTGGCTCCAAGGTTCCAGCCCTACCTGCAGATGATAGGGTTTATACCCAGGACCAAGCTACCACTGAGCAATGGCCTTGCCTCTGGGCAACATAAAGCCTATACAAGCATTGTAATGCAGCATACATTACAGCATGCATCTCCTTTGGTGGCTAAGTATGAGCATGATGACTTGGAGTACAGTATTTTAAGGCAGGAAATTGTATTCGGCACTAGATTGGGAAGTGGTGTGTTTCATATGGCTTGCTTCCTGCACCTGGCAACAGTTCTTTCGAAGCCTTCTGGGCAGGCACCGTGTCACTGTTGCATCTCAAACACCCCTGGCACTCCACTGGAGCTAAATAACTGGTTAGTAGTAACAGCAACAGTTGCAGAAATCCAAAACGTCTACAGTCTACACAGCCGTCGTTTAAACGATTTAATAACAAACAAGAGGGAAAAGTTACAGGAAGTCAATGGGGGCATTAAGGATAGGTTACAAAAATGTAATCTATATTTGGATGGATGAAGCTATAGAGGAGCAAAGAGTCCTGCAGACATGTCTCTGCCCCTAGTCCACTCTCCAATACAGAATATCCTACTGGGTGCTCTATATATAGCTGCTACAACATTGGTTCTTCATATATAGCTGGCTAAAGCACATGCATAAGTTTAATCCACTTGACTGCTGTCTGATTTCAAGATTCATACCCTTTGAATTGGGAGACTTAGACACTTTTTGAATTGGAGGATATTCCTCACTTCCTGCTGGTGGAGAATTCAGGATTATTATTATTTTTAAAGTGTGGGAAGCTGATTACTAGCAGAGCTGATTACTAGCATGTCATCTGGGGCTCTTGGGAACATGGATTCAGCATGAAGGAAACACATGAGACATGTCTCTGAATGCCAGTCGTTGGGAATCACAAGTGGAGAGAGCTCAGTTGTCCTCAGGTCCTGCTTTTGGCTTTTCCAAAGGCATCTGGTTGGCCACTGTACAAACAGGATGCTAGATTGGATGGGCCAGTGGTCTGATCCAGCAGACTCCAATTGCATTCTTGTGACATGTAGCAAGAATAATAATAATAAATTATTAGCCCGCCCATCTGTCTGGGTTTCCCCAGCCACTCTGGGCGGCTTCCAACAGAATATTAAAATACAATAGTCTATTAAACATTTAAAGTTTCCCGAAACAGGGCTGCCTTCAGATGTCTTCTAAAAGTCTGTTAGTTGTTTTTCTCTTTGACATCTGGTGGGAGGGCGTTCCACAGGGAGGGCACCACTATGGAGAAGGCCCTCTGCCTGGTTCCCTGTAACTTGGCTTCTCGCAGTGAGGGAACCGCCAGAAGGCCATCGGAGCTGGACCTCAGTGTCCGGGCAGAACGATGGAGATGGAGACACTACTTCAGGTATACTGAAGAAGAAAATATTGACTTTTCATCAGAGCATCTTGCATCTTGTCGAGCCATTAGAAATCCTCATACCCATCCTCCACACGAGCGGAGTTCAGCAAATACACCAGCTGCCCAAATTCCAGGTCCCACATTGCTTCTTTCTCTCCATTGCGTTGAAAAGGTATCAT